GGTTTAAAGTTTAGGGTTTCGGGTTTTAGGATTTCTAGGTGTAATAATATAGAAGCCTACTATAATTAGCAACATTGTTCCTTAGGGTTCGTTATTATATTTATACTTTAATAAGGGGCCAAAAAAACCCTCTTCTAACGATCAAGGCCCCCTACAACTGGGTGTGTTGCGTTCTGGGATTCAGGTGCAGAGTCTTCGGGTTTTGGGTTGAGGGGTTTTAAGCCCCGGATTTGGTTTAGGGTTTAGGGTTTAGGGTTTATGCAGGATTCCAGAATCTAGAGAATCTAGCATATGTCTAGGGGTTGCGGAATTCGGTCTGGGTTCGAAGTTTCGAGGGTCAGGGCTCTGTGGTTTCGGCAAAGGCCGGCTCAAACTGCGCGGATAGGGTTTATGGTTTTGGGTCTGAGTCTAAGGCTTAACAGTGAACTTAACAGGGTTTGGGATTTAAGGTTTAGGGTTAAGGGTGCCCTAAACAATTACTCGGATCCCCGGCGTTTTTAGCGATTGCCTTACACCCTGACGCCCTGAACTCATGCATCCATGCATGCATGCATGCATACGCACACGGTATAATGCACGTACATACCTACACGATACAGTGCGATGCTGAGCAAACCCTCCGGTCCTTTTCCTTTTGCAGTTCAGAGCACTTTATTGCTTGACTCATCCATGAATTCGAAGCCAGGAGCCCTGCCCCTTAAAAATTGAATCCTAAACCAAAAACCCTGAACCCACCCCCCTCCTAAACAGTAAAAGCCTTAAATCCTAAAGCCCAAGCCCAAGACCCTAAACTCTGGATGCCAACAGCGATCGTATCGTACTTCGCTGATGCGAACTCAGGTGGAGTGCCTTGGAGCAGCGCTGCGACCGATGGCGACAGGTGCATCTGGGACAGGGTTGGGAGTTTCGAGTTTAGGGGTTCATAGGCTTTGATATCTTTCTGTAAGGGGTCATGAGTTTTCTTGTGCCAGGCTTCTTGCATACGGTAATGATCCCTAAACCCTAAACCCTAAACCCTAAACCCTAAACGCTAATTGTGGGTCCTTTGTTCTACGAAACTCATATCTGGCCCAGCACTTCAATGATTGGAGTTCTGGGGCTTTAACTGTCGTCTTGGAGATGCCCTCGTCGGAGCGTCAATTACGGTTTAGGGTTTAGGGTTTAGGGTTTAGGGTTTAGGGTTTAGGGTTTGGGTTTGAGGGTTGGAGGGTGAAGGGTACAGGGTTTCGGGGTCAGCCAGATGTTTTCGGGGGTGTTCTTCGGAGTTTTGGAAGGTTGAACTTCTCTCTAGGTAATATACGGGGGTTGAATCTAAGAACCAGATACTGTGATTTGATAGTCCCGACTGTTCATATCATACTACAACATACCCCCAACCCATTTCCTTAGCAATTACTCAAGCTCCTGGATTGCCTAGCTGCCTAGCTCATGTTTTTCTGTAGTTGCAAGTCAAGAAATCTTGTAATGTCTTTGCAAACTTTACGGCTTTAAACTATTGGACTTATGCTTCGAGGTTCTTGACAGGGTTTAGGGTTCAGGGACCCCAGACCATGCTATGTGAAAAGATGTTGGCGTGTTGTGTGCCTCTGAATGTCAGAATCCTAGCTGTGAGCTGAACCCTAAACCCTACACCCTAAACCCTAAACCCTAAACCCTAAACCCTAAACCCTTAACCCTAAACCCTAAACCCTAAACCCTACACCCTAAGCCCTAAACCCAAAGACTCGGCTGCCCTTTGAGCTTCCGCGCTCTTCGAAGCACTGTGGCTTTAAGCCCTCTTTAGCTCCCAAACTCTACCTGTAGTCTCCATTGTAGTTCCTTTTGGGGGTTCCCTAATAGGAATCCTAAATATGAAATTAATTCATGATGGAGACTATAGGTCCTTTAGGTAAACTACATCTTCAACCCATAAACCCCCAAACCCCTGAACTCCTAAACTACCAAGCCGGACGCCCCGCAACCCTGTCTGAAGCCGGGAAGCTGAACTCCTGAAGTACTCAGCCTGAACCCCAATATAGATATAGGGGCCTAAATAGTTGCCAATACTATATTTTGGTTTTTTTTTTTATAATTATACTAAAATATACCCCAAAACCCTATTCTAATGATTAAGGCCCCTACAGTATGCTCTAAGCTTGAACCCTGTCCCTCAACCCCTAAACCCTAAACCCAAACCCTAAGCCCCAAACCTTCAAGCCCGAACGCGCAGGGCCGATGGCTCCGAGACTTCGTCGCAGCCTGTCAAGCCGCGGGCATTGAGCACGAGGCGGGCATCCGGTCTGGGGGTCTTTAGGGGCCTTAACAGTTTAGGGTTTTGGGGTTTAGGGTTTAGGGGTTTAGGTTTAGAGTGTAGGGTTTAGGGTTTAGGGGTTTGGGGTTTATGGTTCAGGGCTTAGTGTTTAGGGTTTAACGTAGTACTATTTTGGGTGTTCCTTATAGTCATAGTACTATAGGGACCTTAACAATAACCTATATTATTCTGGGGGGTCCTTAGTATAACTATAGAATAAAATACCACCAAAACCCTAAACCCTAAACCCTAAACCCTAAACTACTAAGGCCCCTATATTTTTTCTAAGTATTAAGGCCCCTACATTAGGGCTCAGGTTCCTTGGGGCAGAGGAGCCACAGCATGGTTTATATAATCCATAAATGGGGGTTTCCGAAAATAGAGGACCCTAATATAGTACCTTGAATAATAGGATCCTTATTATAAGGACCCCAAAACAAGGTACCCTAATTTTGGGAAACTCCCATATGTAGGAGCCTGATGAAGAAACCTTGGATCTTTATAAGGGCTCTCTCTATATGAATCCTCATATTTTGGGGTTTTGGGGCCAGGGCATAGGGGTTCTTTATAGGAATCGTAATATTTTGGGGGTTTTAGGGCCAGGATTTCTTAGTCAGGTTCCTACATTAGCACTAAATTATATGATGCGGGATTGGTGATGTTTTTGGGGCTCACAAGAGGGCTTTATCCAGGCTCGGTCGGGTATGTGGGGATGGTGCCTGGGGTTTATGGAGCTGAAGAAGATTCTCGACGAGTGGGACACTTTCCCACGTTTCCGGGTTTTCAGGTTCAAGTAGAAGCACTGAGCGAAGAAAGGATGGACAAAGCCGCGCATGCGGACAGAGGTTGTTTCAAGCATGGTATCTGGTCAGGATAGCTCCATAAAAGGCCGCTTTATCGCCCCCTTCGCCGACCCTCCTTGTATTCCTCAAGCTAAACTGCGAACCCAACACCCCAACAACTCACTGAGATCAAGTTCTCTTCAAGCCCTAACAATGCGCAGGTCGTGCAACAGTTCCTGCAACGCTGGCTGCCGGTGTGCCCAAGCCCTACATACGCGTCAGGGTCGCGGGGGGTGTTCAGGGGCTGCCACACACCCAAACAGTAACAAGCGTCGAGTTATATACTTCCTTCTCTGACAACTTTGCACAGAAAAAATCGGTGGCACGCTCCCATAGGCATGAAACGAGTTGAGGGTTCAGTCTGTGTGCACTTCAGAGTCTTCGAGGCCTGAGAGGCGTGCATCAGCGAAATAGCCCGAAAGCCAAAAGCCTAAATGCTAAAGCCGAACCGTAAAGCCTAACCGCAATGGAGTCCATCCCAAGACGTCTGCAGACCTTTGTCGGATTGAGGGATCCCTCCAGCTCTGTTCTCCACAGTCTTGAACGTGTAACATAAAAAAACCCCGACCTGCCGCAGAGCTTCAAAAGGGCTTTCGTGGGGACCCTCTAGCCTAAACCCCAGGAGCTCGCTTTTTCAAAGGCAAGCAATCGCAGCAGGTGGTGCCAATTCCGTGCTAGGTCATGGCGACTGAGCTCTTTGCACGCACAGCTTCACCCACACACCCAGAAATGCAACACTAATCCTCAGGCCCCAACTAGACCCCCCAATACCCACTATTTAAAGGGCACTTGGGGGTTCCTGGCAAATCCTATACCCTAAACCCCAAACCCGCAAACAGCCACGAAGACTGCTACAGACCATTACAGACCCGTAACAAAGTCGCAGAATGATCAAGGGAAGAAGCCTAGAAGAGCCCTAAGCACAAGAAAGCCTTAGAGCAAACATGTCTTAATGGTTGTATATAATTATATACGAAAGTAGATATATGATAATCTATATTCTATATTCCACAATATATAACGAAAGTAGATATATGATAATCTATATTCCATATTCCATAGTCTATACTACATCCTATCTACCATCAAAGTCAGGTGCGCCAGCTGCATGGGAGGTCCCTCCCCCGGATCAGCGAAAGCAGGCGCAGCTGTGCAAAGGTCCTAGGGTGTGAGGGCTACTTAGGTTTTCGGTTCTATCACCGGTCTGAAAAGTTTAATGTGTTTTTTTCCGTAAGGCCTATCCCCTAAACCTTATAGTCTACCCTCAACCCTAAACCCTAAGCCTCATAGTCTGCCCTAAACCCTAAACCTTATAGTCTGCCCTAAACCCTAAACCTTAAACCTTCTGGTCATTACATCATTGCTCCATGTCTTTCTATACTCTACCGGCCCGAAGCTCCCTTCGAATGCTTTGGTCTCCCATAGTCCATAAACCCTAAATCATCTTCGGATGTTTTTGGAGTTTAGGGTTTGGGGATTATTCGGATTTTTTGGAGTTTAGGGTGTGGGGATTATTTGCTTCTTGTGGAGTTTAGGGTTTGGGGGTTTCGGTCTTAGGGCTGAGTGTTGTTGTGGTGCTGGGAGGGGTTCGTTTGGAACCTAAGGGTCACGGATTCTCGACGGTTTTAGCGCTGGGCCTTTCGGTTTAACGTGGTTGAGATGCGAAATCAATCGAAGAGTTCGTTTAGTTGGCGCTTGCACTTCACTAAGGTTACAGTATTCTCAAGACTACGTACTGCAAAGTCGAAGCTCCAAAACTCTACAGCCGTAGGCCGTCTTCTACCCGCTCTTCCAGCCCCAAAGTGTCAGCACATCGGAAGAGCACATCTTGAGCTAGGTGTGTATGTATGTATGTATGTATGTATGTATGTATGTAGGTAGGTAGGTAGGTAGGTAGGTATGTATGTATGCATGTATATTCGTGCATATTGTAGAACCCTACGCGGCTCTAAACTAAGCGGTGGAGATTCGCCACACGTCGGCTTAGGTTCTGGGCATTGCTAAACCCCTAAGCCCGAAACCCTTTAATCTGACTTTGTCTCGGATTCGCTGCTTTTTGAGGTTTAATTAGGGCTTCATTCATGCTCCTCGCTGTTTTCGGTTTGGGGCTGTGGAGTACACCGTAGAGTCTTTTGGATTTAGGCTGCGCTTGAACCCTTATAGACCCTTTTAAGGAACCCCTAACCCCTATAGCAGCCCTTATAGTAACCCTTATGGACCCTTGTAAGGAACCCCTAACCCCTATAGTAGCCCTTATAGTAACCCTAACCCTAAACCCTAAACCCTTATGGACCCTTTCAAGGAACCCTTTAAAGGAGAGTTGCGCAGGGGCCAAAGCTGCCCCGAACTCTGCAGCAACGCCTGGAGAGGACATGCAAGTCTCTTGGGTCCTGCGAAGCTTCGGTGTGTAGGGTTTAGGGTTTTAGGGTTTAGAGTTTAGAGTTTAGGGCTTGGGGTTTAGGGTTTCGGGTTTAGGGTTCTCGTTTTGCTATGAACTTCTTCGAGCCGCAGTTTCCGCAGAGCTGGCACCCAAATTTCGATTCTTGAATAACAACCTACTAATATAGGTGCCTAGGGTTTTGGGATATATTATACTATAGTTACAATAAGGAACCCCGAAAACATTATGCCGGCGTAGACCCCAAACAGTCGGGAGGGCCAGAAGTTATTAAGGCCCCACGTTACACATGCTAGAAAATCCAAAGCGAGAGCCTGACAGCTATCGTTTCGTTCGGGTTTTTGCAGCCTTCTAAGTTCGGACCCCAGGGGACTTCGAACATAGGTTTTTATCGTCTGAATAGCCTATCAGTGCCGTAGAAACCCTAACCTTAAACCCTAAATCCAAAACCCGCTTTCCTTCAAGGCTCCCTGTACCCCAAACCCAAAACCGAAAGCTCTAAACTTTATAACCCGAGCTCTACTCGGCTTCAGCTCGGACCGAGGGCACACACCCACGGCTTAGGGTTGTGCCGGATCCCTACTAAAGGGGCCTTAATAACAGTAATAATGCTAATCATAATCACAATAATAATAACTTCAGTAAGGTTCCTTTAACTTAAGGTGTCTTTGAAGGGTTCTCTGAGGGCCACTGCAAGGTCTCCTATTGCTTGTGGTGAACCCTATCAACACTAAATCCTAAACCCTACACTCCTACACCCTTAGCCCTAAACCTCAGACCCTAAACCCTCAGCCCCGAACCCCTAAACCCTAAACCCTAAACCCGAAGCCTTAAACCCTACACCCTCAGCCTAAACCCTAAGGTCCACGGCTTGGGGCGGATGTAGAGTTTAGTGTCCACTGCTATTTGGGGGTTAAAGTTGCGCGTGAAACCAGGCTGTGACCTCAAGTTCTTACTAGTAGGGTTTAGGGTTTAGGGTTTAGGGTTAAGGGTTACGCTTAAGGGTTCAGGGTTTAGGGTTAAGGGTTTTGGGTTTAGGGTTTGGGGTTTAGGGTTTGGGTTTAAGGTAGAGTAGGTAATCTTTTACTTTGGAAAATTTTTAAACCCCTGTATAACCCGAGTCGTCAAACTTTTAAGCTCAGGGGTTTAGGGAACCCTGCAACAAAGGGTTTTCATTGTTCAGTGCCCCCACATGATGCTCTAAATGCTCAGCTGGGATCTCCTTTCAACCGATTGATGGCCTGCAGACATTTTGTGGCTCAGTCGGGTGCGACGAGACCTGATGGCACCAGGCAGGGGCCGCAGTAGTAGTAGTAGTAGTAGTAGTAGTAGTAGTAGCAGTAGAAGCAGTAGAAGCAGTAGTAGCAGTAGTAGTTGTCGTTGTCGTCTGCTGCACTACTTCTCCTCTTCCTGCTGATGCTACTACTACTACTACTACTACGACGACGACGACTACTACTACAGTAATTAGTGCTACTTCTACTTCTACTGCTCCTGCTCACAACTACTCGCAGCTGCTGTTGGTCTTGCGGCTGCGATGATGACAACTCTGACGATCGGCCACTCAGAACGATACTCGCCGCTAGCTGTAATGACTGTGACCTGTCTTCTTGGACTGAAATTGACAAAGAGAGCTTTTTTCAGACTTCTCGAAAAACAAGTACATTTATACATATGTAGGTACAGTGCAGTGCAGATCTATCTATCTATCTATAATATACATACGTGATGTATTCAATATGTAAACCACATGCATAGATATTGACACATCTCATAAGATCAAGCATAGTACTATATAGGACAGTTTGATATGATACGATATAGTATAACACAACAGAAACACAACTACTACTACTGCTACTACTACTACTACTACTACTACTACAAATAATAATAATAATAATAGGTAGTAGTTATAATGATCTCAATAACAACCATAAACTATATATATATATACAGACATGTATATATATATATATACATACATACACACATACATAAGTATGTGTATATATATATATACATACATACATACATTTTCATGTCTACACATATATGCGTTAACTATATATATATATCGATAGATATGGGTAGTTCTTAAACAGGGTCCCTTTGGGGGTCCTTTTTGTAAGGGTGCCGTACTATATTTGGGACCTAACAAGGGATCCTAATTTAGAGAACTACCAACCCTCAACCCTAAACCCTACAACCCTAACACCCTAAACCCTAAAACAACCCTAAACCCTAAACCCTAAAACCCTAAAACCCTAAAGAAACCCTCTAAGCCCATGCAGCGAGCGCCAGATGTTCGAGCCTCCGCGAGCTGCCGATTCGTCTCTGCAAGCTGCCTCTGCCTGGCAAGCTTTCAGCTTCAGGGTTTCGGGTTTAGGGTTTAAGGCTATCTAAACCCATTCGGGTTGAGGGCTTGAGGGTTTAGGGCTTTAGGGCTTAGGGTTCAAGGTTCCAAGGGTTTAGGATTCAGTTTCTTTTTGGAATGCTTTTTTCTAGCCCGTTCCCGCTGAAGAGGGAACAGGGGTTGATATCAGGGCCTTAAGAATTGGAATGGGGTTCCTTTCAAGGGTTCTTTACAGGGTTCTATAAGGGTTCAGTGTACGGGCCTGAGCACTCGGAAAAGAGCGCTGGGGTACTCTATGCTCCAAGGCATGTGTGAAGGACCCGAATCCCTCACCTATGAAAGTGAAAGATGCCGGAGTGACGTCTCCTTGATTTTCAAGGCCAATTCCTCAGCCCTGGCTGCTTCAGCAACTGCCTGCAGGCAAGGGCGGGCGCTCCGGCGGGCGGGGGTATGTTCCTGTTTTGGGTTTAGGGTTCAGGGTTTAGTAGGGTTTAGGCCTAAACCTCAACCCTAAACCCTAAACCCTAAACGCTAAACCCTATACCCTTCAACACTCCTGAGGCCGCCACCAAGTGATCCTTCTTTTCTGCATCCTGGCGGGCCCCATTGTGCAGAAGACATGGTCGACCCAGGAAAGTTTTGTCGTTTAGGGCTACAGGGCCTTACGTAGGATTTCATGGCTTGGGGTTGTAGGGCTCTAGGGTTTAGGGTTTAGGGTCTAGGGTTTAGGGTTTAGGGTCGAGCCAGGTGTGAGCCTGCGACGACATGAAAGCTCTAGCCGGCTGCAGGTAATGTCATATATATATATATATGTATATACACATATACACATATATATCTGATATACATATATATATATATGATACCAATCTAGATCCGCTTCATGGCTCGTCATTGGAACTGTCTACCCACGGACCTGGAGCAACTTCTGCGCTATCTGTCGCTCGCGCCGCGACTGCTGCAGAGCCTGAATCCATTTTGCGAGGTGGCTTTTCGAGCGTACGAATCATGCCAGGGTCCTTGGGTTTTTTACGGCATAACGACTCTAGAATGGCAGAGGTGAGGGTAATCATCGCGATGGAGACTGACCGACCGACAGCGCCGGGGTCTTATACTTTGCCTACGCTGCAACTACAAGACAAGACCTACTGCCGTTGACAGCAGCATCACACGCGTGCCGTGCCAAACCCTCAATGTGCGCAGCTGGGACGAAACCCTTCTAGAAGGGTACAAAGATTGTAGCTTGTGTTGGTATTTACCATGTAACAGGGTGACACAACCTTTTTGGGAGAGACCAGAGCTGGTTTGTGCTGGTGATCACTACTACGGCGATGACGACGTGCTACTATGGCGGCAATGACGACCACGACAGTTGATCGGATTCCGTTTAGCAGTGTTCTCTTGGAACACAGTGGCGTTAGCAGTGACATCGAGCTAGACGAAAAAAGGCAGTGGCAACAGCAAAACAAAGAGTACTGGTAGCAGGTCTATCTATAGCATTACTGACATCAAACAGCCGCCACACAGCCACGATCAGAGCCAGAGGGAGCAGGAGCAGAAGCGGCAGCAACAGGACAGCTGCCACCAGCATCAGCAAAAACCTGTACACACGATAGCAGCAACAACACATACATCATCAGTCAGTACAACGGCAAGCAACGGGCGCCGTCAGAAGTAGCATCAGCAGCATAGGACGTAAACCTTGTATTAGCCCTGTGGGCTCGCAGTTGCAGACCAGACGAGTAATGTAGGGGCCTTGATAATTAGAATAGGGTTTTGGGGCCGATCATACTATATTATAATAAGGAACCCCTAAAATAGTATAGGTAATTACTAGGGCTCCTACAGGTAATTATTAGGGCCCCTATATTACTCGATCACACGTCTTCGGATTCTCACTTCAGAACAAGTCCGCTGGAACGAGAATGTCCGGCTATGCAAAGATGCTTATTCAACCCTACACTCTTAAGCCCAAGCCCTTAACCCCTAAACCCGAAGCGCAGCCCTTGAACTCTATACCCAAAACCCCAAAACCCTACCCTAAACCCTAACCCCTAACCCCTAAAAACTAATCCCTAAACCCTAAACCCTAAACCCCTGAACCCCGCCTCTTTGAGCTCCATGACCTGCAGAAAAGGAATTCCGTGCACCGGCTGGTTTAGGGTTTAGGGTTTAGGGTTTAGGGTTTAGGGTTTAGGGGTTTAGGGTTTAGGGTTTAGGGGCTGGGCCGACCGGAGTTGTGGGGCTTAGGATATACGGTTTGTGGCTTAGGATATCTTAGGATATAGGGTTTGGGGCTTAGGATATGGGAAGTTCTCTAAATTAGGGTCCTTTCTACAAGGGTGCCGTACTATATTGAGGACCTAGGGTTTCGGGTTCAGGGCTTGGGGTTTACGGTTTTGTTCAAGTTTTAGGGTTTAGGGCCCAGGGTTTCGGGATTTTAAGTCTAGGTAGCAACAGAACTGAGCAGCAGGTACTCTGACTATGGCTTCAGGTGAGACTTTGCAAAATCGTCGAACCTGGCCTCGTAACGTGCCCTCGCTGCTTGGACCCACAATGCTCGGGCATGGTCGAGTTGCGAAGCATCCTGGACGTCGGCCTGCCCATCCGTGCTC